AGAAGGGGAACTGCCCCTGGTCTACGCAAAATAAGAATTCTCCAATGATTAGTTTGATCATTAAACAATAATTTGAGAGAAATATTCAGCCCAAATAAAAAATACCTATATCGAATTTTCTGAGAAAAAATATATATATGGATTACTGTATTATTATCGAAAATATGCATGTGTGTAAAACTTCCAAGAGAGTAGGATCCAGAGACGGGGGTCAAATATTAATTTCGAGATTTGACACAAACAAATAATAAGCAGATAATAAAATTATTAGAAATTCTGGAAAATATTAATCTGGATGACAGTTTCTCACTGTGATGTCCCATTTCAGAATTGTTCGCATATGGTTTTGCGGAGGTGGCAACAAAAATGCTGTGAGTCCAGTCTTTTTCTTTTCGCAATTCTGGGACAATCACGATGAGAACCTCAAAAATCATATCATTTCAGTCTTTCTTTAACATCAGGGAAGATATATTTATTTTTTTCAAGAAACAAATAAAATCAAATCAAAGCGCATAATACTGTACCGTGTCCGCACCAGACTAGCTGCATTGACAGACTAGCTACATTAAATCTGTTATAGTTGTTGGCTATGGAATGTTTATTAGTTGGGATCTCTCGCTTTACTTTTAGATACAGAAATTCTAAAATTCCCATATTTTAAATACTTAAGAATCAGTTGCAAGTGAAACCTAAAAAATAGTTTTTTTTAAGATGAATGGATAACAGTTATTTCAACCAGGAAAAGAAGATATATCTTAAAACAGAATACTACTGTATGCTGTAAAGTAACTCTGTTTGGCAGATTAGTCGTACAGAATCCTTTTCTACGGCTCTTAAACGATGTCTCATTTTTCGCTTACATTTATGATGCAGAATTAATATAATTTAGCCGTGATTATTATTAAGAAATCGATAAGACCATATTTCAAGATAACAAAAACGTCAGTAATATAATAAAAAATAGACATTTACATGTGTATAGTGACAGTATGTGGTATGCTGTATTTAAACATTAACGGGAAAAACATCATCATGGCATCCTTTCATGCGTATTTCAAAATCACGTGGCATCCGATCCTCTTTTCGGATTTAGCTCTGACCTTGAATGGAAAGATTTAAATAATGGCTTCTCTTACCTATTTCACTAAAAGAGGTTGAATTGGAGTGGTTTTTAAAAAAAGCTTCATCTAGGAAAGCCTAAAGTGGAACAAAATTGTTTCTCGCTAATTATACGATCAAATTTCTGCGATGACAAGTTTGATCATTAAATAAAGATTTGTGAGAAAAATGCATCACTAAATAATTAAAAAAAAACTGTCCCGAATTTTAAAATATTCCTGTGATTCACTGTATTGTCATTGAAAATACATATATCTGAAAAATTTTAGGAAAATCCACTTGATAGAAGGAAGTTGAAAAATAATTTCAAGATTTTACCCACATAAAGAGAGAAACTAAGTAAAAATTAAGTTAAATAAATTCTGTAAAAAAGAATTCAATTTTGAAAACTGAAAATTTCATTTAATAAAAAATTTAGGTCTTATCAAATAAATCATAAATTAACGTAACTCATGCGGGTGGGCTCCAATTGCGCGAATGAAAATCCTCCCCCGTCCTGCTATAGCCCAACTGCGCGAATCAAAATTTCTTTTCCCCGTTGCCTACAGGGCTATAATTTAACTTTTCGAAGCCTGCACAGCAACATAAATTTAATACTTTTACTGATAAAATTAGAATGGCGCTAATGGTTGGAGTTTATAATGGTATGATGCACTGCATTACTTTCAGGAAATTCAAAAACAATCTTTATTGCACGTATAAAGATTTTTGATCGTACAATTAAGACAAAAAAATATATACATAAAAATTTAAGGGGTCATTTCAGACAGATATTGAAAATTATGTATATTTAACGTAGTAAATTGGCACAGGCGGCGAGATTAATGTAATTTATTGCTGTTACTCAAACATCTTTATGCAAGAATATTTTCATATGTTTAATCATCTCAGGACAATTTTTTTAAGACAGGAAATACCAAAACAAGAATGAAAATTAGCTTACAGAAACTTGCTTTGTATGAATACTCTGTTCAAATGTATAATGAATTTTAAGCCGCAAACTTTAAAACAAAACTCATTTTTTCATATTTTCCTCAAAAATACATAAAAATGAGATTTTAAACTTCTTACTTGCATAATTTTATGTATGGTTTCAATACTGTTATACTAGTAAAACCGTTTATAACAATATTAAAGAAACACTTTTTTATCTTATCCATATTAAGGTCCAAGACAATAGTTTATTTCCAATTATTTGCACACAATATTAGCTAAAAATGGATTCAGCAGCAACAAAGCAAGGCCACCACAAGAAGTATATCTTGAACTGAGTATCAGTGCATTCGAATAGTACTGCAAATGAAAGTTGGTTTACAAATGTAAATGAAATTAGTTGCTAAACAAAGAATACGCTGTACTCAGCGGTGTTAATATGCATCTTACTTTGGACATCACAATGCCGTGAAACTTAATTCTTTCCTAAAGGTCGTTCGACAACCGAAGTGTTCGCTAAACTGAAATAATTTTACTCTAAGGAAGTAATGTAAAATGCAAGTTAATTAACTGTAAATTAGTTTCTCGACCACATAAGACAGTTCATTGAAGCTTTACAATTTGTGCACAAATCTGCGCGCAAGATATTAACTCATAACGAATCAAAATCATTAAATATGAAAAAGATAAAACATAATATAAAAAAGATAAAAACCGACGGAAACCTAATTTAATTTTACTGTATCTGCACGAAAGAAAGTGGAAAGTATAATAGAAAATGATTATGAAGATGTTTTTGCATGGGATGGGGCATCCCTTTTCGCAAAAATATCAGGCAACTTTCTTTAGGCCAGGTCTTTTATTTGTCTCTAAGCGCCACCCGACTTTACATGAAATTCACAGGGCTTTTGTTTCACTTAAAATTTGTCCAATAGAATTTTTTTTATCTATGTTTTGCAAAGTTTCGAAATTTTGACATGGAATTGTCATTGGAATTTTTTATGCTACAGTTTGCACAACTGCTTTATCAAGGTGATATCGTTAAGTGAAAATTTTAATCCATTTTTCACAAATTTCGCGGATTAAAGAACTACGATCATTGCTATTTCTTTCTCTTTCTCAGAAAACATTTCTTTTATAATCGCCTTTTGTTAGTGCTTCTGAAATTGTAGTTTTTTCTTGTTGAGCTCATTTTTATGATCTTTTAGTCATTTTCCCACGTCTTCATGGTTAATTTCCTAGCCCATGGATTTGCCTAGAGAGACGATATAATACATAACAAAAAAAGTCCTAAGCGTCAAAGTGCTCAGCCTGTAGCTCAATCTGGCCATAATTTCGTTCAGGGCATAGTCATAACGCTGTCACTTGTTCCCAGGCTCGTTAATCAGAGAAGTGGCTTTTCAGAAGTGCTTAAGTGTTAATTATGTGGCAGAGGTTATTTCAAAATACTTTTGAAACTCATATGTTACCTATAAGGTATTTCTCCCACTTTCCTAGCGTTCCTTCGTGGTGTAGTAGTTATGCACGCCGGGCCGGTATTCCAGAGGTCCGTGGTTCGATTCCCGGCGAAGGCGGTTGCTATTTTCCATCTTTTCTGCTACCAAAAATATACTTAATGTCTCTACAGTGGCGCCCGAACTAAAAGGGTGTTGGATGAGGATTCTCCACACTCAGGATTTGGCGATCGGGTCCCCTAAAAACCCCAGTCGCCATTTAAAAAAGGGAAAGTATATAAGGTATTTCTCCCACTTTCATAGCGTGCCTTCGTGGTGTAGTGGTTCTGCACGCTGGGCCGGTATTCCAGAAGTCCGTGGTTCGATTCCCGGCGAAGGCGGTTACTATTTTTCATCTTTTCTGCTACCAAAAATATACCTAATGTGTCTACATACCGACTTGAGTGTTTGTAAATTGAGACACTGATCGTTATCCGATGAGGTTTTTGTCCGGATAACCTGTTCGTAAACGGAACTCTAAAGATAACTCTAAAGGAACTCTAAAGATAACCATATTGATTCGAGATTCCACTATATTAGATCTCAAAATAAAAGCCGGTGCTATACTAAACATTTGACAACTAGATTAAAATTAATTTTTTCCCTTTGAATACCGGCACTACACGAAAGACATTTTATCTTAGCAAGCTTTTAACACTTTTTTTTCAGTTTTTTTTAATGCTTGGTTTGGTATGATACAAGTTCTTAGGAATTGTTTAGTAGCAAAATAATAGTCAATATTTGATGTCAAAGATATGATGCTTTATAACGTATGCTTAATTGTTGATTATAATACAATATAGAATATTCAGAGAGTCATGAAAACCTAACATTCGCTTTCCGTAACCTATTATGTCCATTTAGTACTACTGCAGATCTTATATGTCTGTTTGTTAAGTAAGAAAATATATTTATGTACTGGCTTTTGGAATTCTTTGTTAGTTTCACTACACAGTATATGTTCGAAGTTTGTCCACGTCACTTAATGTAAAAACGTTCGGGTGTTCTTGTTGCGAGTTAGATCGCTATATTGAGATCAGGCCACAAGCATGTTACTGGTCTAATTTTTCCCAAACGACTTTACTGTCCAATGAGCATTTCAAACTACCCATAACGCACTAAATTAACTAAATTATTCGTTTTACTGTGCAAATAACAAGATAGGCTATCCTGGTATTTTGAATACCCTATACTTTATGAATTACTATCCTCTCTTAGGTACACAGTGCTATACTAAAGTATTTTAATAAAACTTTCTAGCAAATACATACAGACTCACATCGTTTCTTGCTTAAAACCGAATACCTTTGATGCAAAAAATGATCTACGAATAACAGAACTTAAAAACTCTTTTTAATGGCCAATCTTGCAACTATTGATCACTGAAAAATCAAAATAAGTAATACTTAGAGAAATCTTCAAAGATTATTTCCAACACATGAAGAATTCACTTACTTCGAGTGACTCTTCTACGATGTAGTAAAGTATGAAAAGTACAATGCAAACTTCGCAAGCCATGATGAAGTAATCGTATGGGTTGACATAACGCAGCAGCTTCACAGTTCGGAAGCTCCACGATGGAATCATACCTCCCGTGGCTGGGAATTCGAAAACTAACCTAAACAGGAAAGTCAAAGCATTAACATCAAGTATGTGCTTTTTAAAACAACAGGCTGCTTCAAGATTCAAGAAGTAAAAAATAAAACATACATCACTAGCAGGAGAAAAAAATATCGCCCCCCACCATCAAAAAGAAAAAAACACGAAAATAGCATTAAAAATTTTACTGCATTAGCTCTCGTTTTAGTATAATAGAATAAGAGGTGGGTGTTTAGCTAGCACAGCTTCAATAGATTAGAAAGTATATTCAGCATCTAGCAATTTAACGGTAATATGACAATATTTATGAACACATGATAACACAAAATAATCATTCGATCAGATTAACAAAGGTAATTTTAATCAGGGTACCTAAATAGCGTTCCCGTAATCCTTGCTGCACGGAGGGGCACAGATAGCCAAAGTGCAAAATCAGCATTGAAGCATGGAAAATTAGAGAGCAAAGAGCAAACATATTAATTATCCTTTGCGGGAAAGCGAACAACAGAACATGCTATTATACACCTAATTTTAATTGAAGTTAGAAATAAAAATATATGTATATTGCATTTTTATCAGCGAGGCTGAAAGCACTGATCCTCATAGTATGAAAACTACATTTATAACGAATCCTCAAAATATGGGAAAAAAATTGCTTATGAGTATTAAACTGTAACATTAATTTTGCTGTAACTTCTAAACAATAACCAGTTTTGGAAAATAAATTGCATATTCGTATTCAGGAGGTAAAATTCAGAAAGAATATGTTTATTTACTTTCTTTATTTCAATTATACTCAATTCTCAAAACACTGATTGTGAATGCTAAAATATTACACGGATTTTACTAGGCAAATGCGAATCTTAAAAGTGCATATTTATGCTCAGGATGTAAAATTTAGTAATAAAAAAGTTATTTCATCTCTGTAACAAAAAAAGTGAAAATATGTAGAATACTGTTGTTTAAGATTCAACAATATTCTGAAAGATTCACCGATCATGCTTCCTACTAAAGGTATAGGATGCACGATTCGTGTTAATATAACTGCATCCAACATTGTAACATTTTGTATTTTTAACTTTGTTATTACTGTGTTCTTAAAGAATCATTCGACATAGATTGCCATCATGCTAATTTCTATAGAAAAGCAGGACGATAGTCTTCAATTCCGCAGGGCAAATCCATAGTCATTGTAATATCATGCCATCTTCATGAGCCGTGTTTTTGAGATATAATTCCACCTTCTTTGTATTCTAAATGTTTATTATACACACAAAATTAAACACTAAAACTACACTAGTAATAATTGAAATATGTACATTCATTAATACAAGTTAATTCTGTTTTTCATTAACGGCTCCCATGAGCCTTCCCCAGTGCAGGATTTACATTTACAATCTGCACAAGCTATAGCTTAGGGTCCCCAATTTCTCGGGGGCTGCCTCCAAAAAATTAAAATATTGTATAAATATAGTATAACAGACTTATAAAGGGCCCCATATCTCAAATAGCTTAGGGCCTTATTAAGTCTAAATCCGGCTCTGAGCCTTCCCCTTATCTATGACCCCTCAGCAGGTCTCCCTAGTCGAAACTAAACTTTTGGCGACTCTCAGATTGAGAGTTGGCAAATAACTTTCTGAGATCTCCCAGAACGTTTGCGTCAATCAGATGTGTTTAATAAACGATTTACTCATATACCTAATAAAATGCTTATGTGTAGATCAAATTTGGAAAGAGTAGTTACAAAAAGAAAATGTGACTCATCAAACTGGGTTTAGAGCTTTAAGACTTCGACGTATTCGATGTCATGCAGTAGTGGCCGCACAATCTATATAGTTAACGACATTCTGGGAAGTGGTATATGGGTAATTCTGGATGCTCCAATATTGAGGCAGATCCTTCCTTGTCAATTCCTAAGGCAGGTATACAGTCAAGCAGTCCTTTGTAAAGAATAACACTAAAACTTGCAGTGGTATTGCGCTTCTGACTTGAATGGCTCTCTGTTATCAATTTTGTCTTAATTCTACCTCAACTGTGAGAGTCACAGACGAAGAAACTGGAGGAAATTAGAAAATGGGACAGATTCGCTAACTACTGAACATCACACTAATTGTCATACGGTTTAGCATGCTATCAGCATGAATGACCAGCCAATTCTAGTATATGTAATGAGTACATTGCGGATAAGATTCTGCAGCAGATATGTTGATGTTGATGCTTAAGTCCATTACATTGTCGAATATTTCGAGTATATTACGAAATGGCTTTTTGGCTATTTGAAATTGCTTGTCAAATACCCACATGGTCAAACACAGCCCACATCGGCCGTATTGTCACACGTATGGGAAAAGCCGCATGGCTACACACAGTTAATAATAGCAAGCATTCTTTGCAAAATGTCGAGATAAGTCTTTGTCTAGTATGCTCCTCAGATCTCATTGCCAAATGAAAATTTGTAAGGATATGTTTTGTCATCACCCGAATGGTCTCCAATGACCTCACAATGAGGATGAGCTAGGGACTTCGACCAATGACAAATGACTACATTACCGCAGAAGAAAATCTGAACACTCGATCACTACCATGTTTAGTGTGTAATTCAATTTAGTATCGACATCCAAATGATCGAAAAGTAAATGTCATTAATGGCGACTTGCAATTGCTTGAATTAAAATCTTCCCCACAAAAAATATTTTTCATCAGTGTATCAAATTTTTAACTTTTTCAAGGCGCTGCATTTTCTTTCTGCATAAAATGTGTTTTATGAAGCAGTGCAGTACTAAAATAAAACCGACTGAATATGGGACTTACTTAATGACGGAAAATAAGTTGAGATTTGCGTTGTAAACGGTGAAGTCTACGAAGACTGCTCTGGTGGCGCGAGAAATCCACAAGTTTTGCCGAAGTATTTCCAGGCGAGCCAGCGCCTGTTTTTTGGTAGTTCCTAGGTCCCGGTAAGATCCTGCGCCGCTGTAGGTAGCTAGTAATGCCCAGTGATTGGACCCGTTCATCTCCTTTTCGGTGTGGTAAACCCACCTGGTAATAATGATAATAAAAACTCTAATTAAATATATATATATATATATATTGATAAAACAATAAATGGAGAGAACAATAATGGGACGGATTTGGAATTACACTACTACGACAATTTAGTATAAATTGTAAAATAAGATATGAGCTTCATTTATTTTTATTAATCAAATGCACCTACAATTCATTAATATTATCCTTTTGAGGACAGCTTTTAAACATCAAAGTAATTTCCCAAATTTAAAGTTATGCCTGTGTTTCTAAATTTACATATCACAAAAAGGTCTTAGAGATTTTTATTTAGTTTGTATAATCAAACAGTGAATGGAATGGTGAAATATGCAGTTTTTTTTTTTTGAGTTTTGAATAAAACCAAAACATAGCAAAAATCTATTTTAATCAAATTTTTATCATACATCTTATTCATAAAAATCATTACGTGGCCTTTACTTTGGCAGCCATTATTAGGAACCGTATGTTTCGAGTTACAAAACTGTTTTAAAGAAACAAAGCATTCATGTTAGGCAGTTATAAATTTCAATTTTGTGATATAACGTTGCGCGCCTCCAACTTGCACGCAACCAAGAGGTGACTGTGAAAACTTGTATAAAAGATAGAGCCTTTTGAAGGGTTTAAGTCCCTTTTTATTCAACGTAATAAATTACAATTGCGTTCTCTTGACGCTTACAGACGGTGCCAACTTGGCAGTCAAATAAAAATAATAACCTGAAAAGAAAATAAAGACAAGATTCTAACTACGAGGCTCTCTAAAATAACTAACTCACCGCGTTTTACAATACCGCTGCTAATTCAGCAGACTTGAAGCTCACTGGAACGATTTCCACTACTTCCCGCCAAGCACATAGGCCGCAAACGCGGGTTCTTCAATTCTCGCTAACTAACTACCTCCGCGCTCGCTAAGAAGTAAGAATCACACCGAACTCGTTTCCTTCTATTTAAATCAGAATACTTCCGCTGATAATTTGAATGCTTGCGCGTTCTACTAAAATTTACATATTCTGGCATTGGCAGTTCCAGGGGAAAAGTAAGGCTTGACAGGAAAGATAGTTTAAACTTAAAATAAATGTTAGTTAAATAAATAAATAAATAAACCCTACATTTGCCGCTGCCAGAATTTGGAAAACTTGGAAGCAGGTCCTACAAACGACCTGTTGTAAGTTTATCTAATTCTGAACTAACTGGCGAGAACCTCGTTTACACAAAAAAAAAAAAAAAATCTTATGTAACAATTATATACTAAAATTCTGTTGAATGTTACAAAGCTCTCTTCTTACAGCAACTTTTCCTGGACTTCATCAATCAATCTTGGTCTTTCCTTCCAGCATCTGGAAGGAATAAGTATCAGTATCTTTCTACATACATTATAATTTACACTTTCTTGACACAATAAATTTTTGTTTTTAACGATTCGTTTTTCTTACTTATTGCTTACTTCACATTCATTCAATTTTTCAAGCATTAATTTAACTTTACCCTGGCTCTCCACCGTGTGTGGTGTCAAACGGGAAATATCGTGTTTTAGTCTTACAACACTTCCCCCTAACCACCATGATTTGTTAGAATTCAACAACCAAATAGACACACCTTACTCGACATTCTACAACTCAATGAGCTACTTTAATATTCTTAAAAATTCAAATGTAGGTGGAGAACCCTACAAAACACATTCATTCTAACTTCCCCCTCATTCATCTTTAACCATGCAGGCTTTCGCTCTAAAGCATGACTTTATCTACAATTTACTACTTAAATTTTGACTTCATTGCTTTTTAAGCATTCACTTTTAGAATCTACAAATTTTATGCTTCTAGACTAAATTCTACTTTTACATAACATGCAAGTATTTACATACATTTACAAAAGTTTAATACATATGATTTTTACAAATTTACCATAAAATGAATATGAGAAAATAAATTTTTACTTTACTCATTCTTCGCCAAGCTGGCGGCACTGGAAACTAAAATTCTTATTAATACAAGAATACGAAGTTATTTTTATCTCCGGCCAAATTTTGGCTTTAACATAACAGAATTAGTCTTTCGACCAACAGAAAATGCTTGTTTTTAGCTTTTACACTTAAAGAAAATAATACTTTTGCCTTAGCTAAATAAAGTAAAACAAAACTAAGTCTCAACCGAGACATATTGACTTTCGTCAAAACATAGAACTTCGTACTTATGCATAACATTTCGGAACAAAAGAGAAAAAAAAATTTATAGAAGGTTTTAACTTATCTTTGAGTTTTCGATGCTTGAAAACTCCGTCATCCGTTTTTTGGCAAAATGATGATCCCCAAGTTAGAGGTTTCATGGATGTCAATCTTCTCCTTATTGATCTCCGAGTGTCGTCCCCGTTGCTTTTTCTTTTGCGTCCTCTACATGCTGGCCTCTTGACGGAGTAATCGTCTGGTTGTTGGCCTTTCCGTTTCTGCCTGGGACGGCTGGTCTTGACGTCCTCCGGTCTGGAGTCCTTCTTGAATTTCTTCTGTTCGTCGTATTTTTGTGCCTCCTGCTGCCGTTTCAGTTTCCGGAACGGCGGCCTTGCTGGCACCTGACTCTGTGGCCGTGTGCGCGTTCTCCTTGATGTGTAATTTCTCCTGCTATCCTTTGTAGGTGGTGTTTTTCTTTTTACCACGGTTTCTTTACCCGGTGCATCTGTATTTTTTTGTTTTCTTACAACGCGCCGGAGTTTGAAAATCATTTTTTCTTTTTGATACCGACGTCCGGGTTGTAGAAGTGCTAGGTCTCTCTTCAGTTCTGTTTCTTGGGTGGTGGAATAGTTGTTGTAGCCTCTGGCCCTTCTATTTCGTTTAGACTTGAGTCCTGCAAGAAACTTTTAAGGATTTCAAAATCATTTGGATTATAGTATTTTTTCACCTGGTCGGGACTTGCTTTACATATTTCCCCTCTGTCGTTCTTAAGACATAATACTACCCCTTTGCTTTCCTGAATTACATAGGGGCCTTCAAACTTTGGAGCTAGCTTTGCCATAAAATCGTCTGGGGCACTTGATAAAGAAAATTTCCGCTTCAATACTTTATTCCCAACTTTAAAATCTGCTTCACGGCGTTTTCTATCATAATAAAGTTTCTGCCTATTTCTTGCCGTATCCGAGCTTTTAAGCGCCTGATCAATCAAGTTTTGCACATCTTGTTTGTTTAAACTTCCTGCTCTCTTTGTTGCACAAAGAAAAATTTACCTAAAGGCGTAATTAACTTTCTGCCTAAAAATAATTCTGCTGGAGTTTTTCCCGTAGTATCATGATGTGCCGTTCTTAAAGCATAAGCTAATTCATTTATGTAGCCATCCCAGCGCTTGTGATGTGTGCTAACGTAACTGCGAATTATTTTTACAATGCTTTTATTAACTCTTTCTGCTATGTTAGCCTGTGGTCTATACGGAACCATTTTGATATGGCGTATGCCAAGTCCATTGCATATGTTTTCAAATATTTGACTAATGAATTGTTTTCCGTTATCGCTAATGACTTTTATCGGTGCACCGTATTTTAAAATGTATCTGTGTAAGAATGCATCTGCGACTGTTTTGGCTGACGCGCGTTTAAGTGGAACAATTTCTATCCATTTTGAAAAATGATCTACTATTACTAAAAGAAAACGATTTTTATTTAACTCGCTCTGGGGGAAGGGACCAAGGAGATCTATGCCTAAAATTTCATTCGGAAATGTAGCGCGAATGCTATTTAAGTACCCGGCCGGCTGTAATTAATATCATTTATTAACTGACATTGATTGCAGGACCTGACATACGCCGTTACTATTTTGTATAATTGCGGGAAATATACCGCCTCGCGTACCCTTTTTTATAGTCTTTCTGACCCCGAGGTGGGCCCCGCTGTTTTTTTTTCGTGCAACTCCTTCAAAATGCTTAATCGAAGCGAGGCTGGGATGACTGGCTTTATACTCAAGATTTTCGTTCGTTGTTTTTCGTATAGAATAATAAATTATCTATTATTTCATAGTTTTTTGCTTTATTTCTTATCGCATCGATATCTGTGTGCTCAAAGCCTTCGGGGTCTTTCAAATAAGCATAGATATTTCCAAATTCAGGATCAGCTTTCAGTTCAGTAATAACCGTATCTCTAGAATCTAAAATTTTTGAAGTCAACACAGCGCATTTAAGTTCATTACCTTCATCGTCCAGTTTTTTACGAGAAAGTGCGTCAGCTACATTGTTTTCCTTACCCGGTTTATATTTTATTGTGATATTATATTCTTGGAGTTTTAAAGCCCATCTTATTAACCTGGGCGTTAGGTTTTTTCCCGAGTAAAGTCTACCAACAGCCGCATGATCCGAAAAGACTGTTACTGGCGATTTGCCGAAATAAACTCGAAATTTGTGTACAGCCATTAATACGGCTAATGTTTCTCTTTCTGTAGCTGTATAATTCCTTTGTGTTTGATTCAATGTTTTACTAAAAAAATGCCAGCGGATGGTTATTTTGCATAAGAACCGCACCCACCGCATAGTCTGATGCATCTGCTGCAATTTCCAGGTTTTCGTCCCCCTCAGGGAATTTTAAAACAGGGGCATTAATAAGCGCTTCTTTTAATCTTTCAAAAGCTGTGTTCCTTCCGCTGTCCACGTAAATTTACTTTTTTTCTTTTGATTACTAAGAGTGGTTCAACAATATTAGCGAAATCTTTTATGAAAGATCGATAGTAAGAACATAGTCCAAGGAAAAGACGAAAGTTTCTTGGCGGTGTTGGGCGGTGGGAAATTCTTAATAGCTTTTATTTTTGAATCTTGCGTTTCTATACCCTTTTGCGAAATTTTATAACCGAGATATTTAAGTTCTTTAGTTGCGAACTTGCATTTTGAGGCGTTAATTGTAAGACCGGCCTCTTTTAATAATTTAAAAACTTGTTCGAGGTCACTAATATGTTGTTCCAACGTACTACTCGTTATAATTATATCATCTAGATAAATTAAAGTTGATTTTCCTAGGACAGGCTTTAG